CACATGGTAGTGTCCATAGGAAACAGTTAACGTGAGTCTTATAATAACTCATATCAATACGAATTTCTTGAATTTAGTTAGTGGGGTCTAAGGAAACAAAGGAAACAATGTTGCCGACGTGGCTAAATTTCATTGGACTTCAAAACCAGTTGAATACAATTCATCCATTCATATCTCCAGCAATATTGCTTATTTTTTCACATCCTGTATTATTATAACGGTTCAAAAATCATATTTTGGAAATGAAATGTGTTCTTTGGTAGCATATGTCGTTTTTGAGAGAAACAGACCTGTTTAGGATGCTGATTCCGATACACTCCTTCCACCATTTTCAAAATATCGCAATCTCTCACACCGTAAATTGATGGAGTAATATCGAAAATCGAGATGGATTTTATTAAAAACTTTATCGGAATAGGTCAAGAATGCTCCATCTGCATAAAAATCATTTTTATGCCATTATTGGATAGGGTGTTTCAAACATACTCCATGTTTTACGTCATGTAATATCTAGCAGTAAATTCACAATCAATTTAAGATAGATTATCACCGAAAAATGTTTCAAGCAAATATAAATAAACCATCATTGTCTCAACAAAATACACATAATATACTTAGAATAGTTTTCTATTGATTTTGATTTATACATATTACTAGAGTTTTAGCTCTAAATTTTTGATGCATGGTGTATTATACAGGGTGTTTTCAAAGTTAGGTCATTCAATTTTAGAGCCTGTAGAACTCGTCAAAAGAAGGTGAGACCAAAAGTCGCCTATATCATCTATAAATTTTTAATCTTTCACTATGTCTTTTATTATGCAGTTTTTATATAGGTGATTATTGGTATATCAACTCCTTTCGACGAGTCCTACACGCCGTTAAAATACATGAGTCAACTTTGAAAACACCCTGTATACTGACGCCGACCGCCTTATCTGCTCGGTGTTACGTCAGCACATGCAAAAACCATAAATTTTACTTAGCACTTTTAAGTGATTCCGTTACATCGCAAAAGCGGTTTCTAAGAAGAACAATTAATAATGCGTGATCTGGTGCATTCAAAGCGGAGTTGTGAGTAGAATGCACCAGCGGGTTGCGAACTCCCTTTGGCACAGACAACAAGGTCCACCTCGACTCCATTTACCAACATGCCTGTTAGCGGGCGCTGTACATGGCAAGGTCATCTCGCCCCGAAACCGCGCATAAAGCCAGAACAATAGATAAACTTCTTCCCATTCAAGTTGGCGCTGCCGAGCTTTGTGGGCTAAGAACTTCATTCCTATTATTCCCCGACAAACAATAAACTGTATTAATTATAAATCAAAAACGAAAGGCTGCGCACTCCAATGGAAGGCCGTCTTACTTTGTGTTGAATCTCCGCTCTCGCTTTTCTGTGGAGGTGTTGGCTTCGTCTGATTACAAAAGTTTGGACAGCTTTGACGTTCATAACAACAAGAGTATAATTAACCATTTATTCCTGAAGTGATTTTAAATTCAGGTACTTCTTCTGAGAATAGACCTCTTGAATTGCTACTAATACTATTTGAGCTTGTCTCAAGTTTAGCTAGTGAAACATTATTATATAAGAGTTGCACATAGTCGGTTGAATAAGAATAAAAAGCCTCTATCTACATTTTCACAACTCTCCTCTCATAGATAGTTTCCAATAGACTGATTGTAACATTTAATATATTTCCATGGTGACAGTTTTCAATAAAGTAAAATAAACCCGTACTGAACAGTTTTTTTACTTATTATGATTTTAAATGGATCTATGCATGTGTTCGGATACTTTTGAACGATAGTGTATGTTGAGCAAATGTTTCTAAAGGGGAAAGATGCATAGTGTAGATCATGGTACTGCTGATATATGTTATCCAGGAGACAATTTCAGTGTAAACTTAGTTGAGGTACGCTCGTAATGAGTAAATATTTTTAAAGGGCTAAAGATTCAGGATACCTTGTAGCATTACCAATTTATTTTCCCAGACCTTTACTTTGTTAATTCTTTGCTCTCTGCCTAATACTTGGAGTTCGTCAGATTACAAAAGTTTTCTCTGGGGCGCTAACAAGATTGCTGGAGCCAACAAGGGGAATATAATTACCTATTTATCACTGAAACCCATTTAAATTCTTATAAACAGGCGAAGTGTCCGACCGTTTCCATGAGATTCTAGCGGTTAAATATACGACTCCACTTATTATGGAGAAGGCTTTAAGCGACTCACCTAAATGAGTTTTAGATGGAGTTATTAAGCAACAACGTTGGCTCACCTCCTTTGGCATAGATGAAAGCAAAGACAAACTAAGACCTTTAACTAAATCCGAACATGCGAAGAGTAGTAGTGGAAGTAACGGAATAATTTCAAAAACTCTTGTGCATGTTCAATCTAACTCCAAATTTATTTCTGTAGTAAGTCGCGTGACTCACGGAGATGATACTGATTTTTCGCCGAGATTTGGCGGCAAGCAAAATGCCATTACAACGAGTCGAGTATTTTCAATACGCACTTCTAAATTAGTAATTACATATGACTAAATCTTTGATCAGTATAAGCAAGTAGTAAACAAGCAAACGATATCGTCCTACCTTGTCAAGAATTTGGTTGGTACACAGTCCATGAAATAACCTTTTGGCGAAGAGTTTCCATTTATAAAGATAAAATACGGGTCTGGATACATTAGTGAAGCGGATTTTACAATTTTCAGTCGTTTTCGGCCATATTTATATAACCTCGGAGTGACGTAAAATTGACAAGTTGACTGTTATTCCTGATTCATACTACATAAGAAATTACTATACAGAGTGTCATGACCCGCAAAAAGAAGAAGGAAGAAGAACAACAACAAGAAAAGCCTGAGAATGAAAAAACACACACACACAGATGAAGAGAATCGACCTGATTCGACTAATGTAAAAAAGATATTAGAAGAGAATCGATCCCTGAAGAAAGCACTAGCAGAAAAGGAGGAAATAATTCGTCAGCTCAATAACGAAAATTTAAAACTAAAAGAGCAGCAGCTGTCAGTAACCGCAAGTATTACTGAGAAGGATGCCATAGCATCAGCATTAAATAGAATTAACATGAGACTAGACGAAGTTGAAAAAAAAAACAGTTAGTAAAAGGAAATTCATACGCACAAATCTTAAAACAAACGATACCTATTACTAAAAGGCAATCGCTGAAATGCATCACAGTTATTCCAAAAGAAAAACAATCTTGCGATAATACGAGAAGAGAATTGAGTAACAGAATAAATCTTTCATCTCTGAACATTCAAATAGAAAGTATAAGAAACTCAAAAAATGGCGGAATTGATATAAAAATTGATGAATCAAATCATAATAAACTGAAAGATGAACTTCAAAGTAAATTGAATGAAAAATACCAAGTTACTGAGCCAAAAATGTTAAATCCAAAAATTAAAATAATAAATTATAAAAGTAGTGAGAAACCGAATGAAAAGCAAATTGAAGAAGATCTTATACATCAGAATTAAATGATTCAGAGTGGAGACATACAAGTAAACTTTATAAAATATCTTACATCAAGAAACAATTACACTATCTACGCGGAAACTTCTGGAAAGCTATTCAAAAAAATCTTCGAAGACAATAATAGAAGAATACTTCTGGGATGGCAATGTTTGACAGTATATCAAAATAACGACATTTCTCAGTGTAGAAAATGCTACCGTTTTAATCATACAGAAAAGAATTGCAGGAATGAGAAGATATGTGCCAACTGTGGCAACGGTCACGAAGGAGAAAATTGTAAGCATGTATCAATAGAATGCTGCAACTGTAGATATGGAAATGAAAAATATAAAAAAAAATATAATATTAACCACTCACCTACCTACAAAAACTGTCCATCGTACAAATATTATCAGGAACAACAAAACTTAAGGATACTTCTTTAAAATTCAAGTTCATCTTTTGATACTCCTATCTCTAAAGAGGACCTAAAAATGTCAGTAAATAAATACATTAATGATTTCCAAATTCCAAATATTGCAACAAATATAGCACAAAACGTCGATGAACTTAATTTATGTACACAAAATTCTGATGCACAATTTCGAATTTTTAATATGAACATAAGGAGTATAAAACACAACATTGATTACTTAAAAATACTACTCGACCAAATATGGTACAATTTTGATCTAATAGTTTTAACTGAAACGTGGCAAGTGCTTGATATTTTTTGCTTCAATCAGCAGGGATATGACACGCTGTATAACTTTGGCACTTATAACCAAAACGATGGGGTGATAGTTTTTGTAAGAAATGAACTGCAATATAATCATGATACATTCACTTTCACTGATGGAATCAAAATTTTAAACATAATGATCCAAATTAACCATAACAAAATTGAGGTATCTGCAATTTATCGTCCGCCATGTTCAGAACCCCACGAGTTTTTGAAGAATATCGAATTTTTTTTTCAAAATCAAAATAAAGTTCATTTAAAGCAACATATTTTCTTGGGAGATGTTAATATAAAAATTTTGGACGATGATCCCATCACAAATGAATACTTGAATATCCTATCAAGTAACGGATTTCTGTCCTATATAAACTTACCTACAAGGCCCATCAGTGGCACATGTATAGATCACTGTTTTGTGAAAGACCTATCCAACAAAATTACTTGTATACCAATAATCCTAGAAAGCGATATTACTGACCACTTCTTCACTATTTTACTGATATATTCAAATGAAAAACATTCTAACATCCCTACCGTTAATAACAACCAGGAAAATTACAAAATTTTTGTCGACAATTCAAAACTAACATCAAATGTCAAACAAGAATCCTGGGAACAATTATACTCTATAAATAATATAGACAAAGCAACGGGACTGTTCATAGAGAAAATAAAAAACTAATAGATATTAGTACCAATAAAGTAATAATTAGTCACAAAGAGAAAAGCAGAAATGCCTGGATTACCAAAGGATTAATAACATCGGCAATAGAAAAAGAAAGACTATCAGGCCAATTCTGTTTAGCTATAGCAATATTGTTACTTGTTATTATGAAGAGATCTTGCTATGATTTAACAATGTTTGCGATTGTCCTATTCTGTTCAATATATTTTAGCCAGATGATCTGTCATTTTGAATAGTTCTTGTTTTTCGATCTTGTTATCTCGGCAAATAGTATTTAAGTACTTGCTATCAATGTAACAACATTGTTATGGCAGAAAAATGGCCGTCAATCCGGTTTTTGTGAATTTTGATGTAAACTTTCGCCATACATTTGAAAACGTTCTAGTTAGGTAAGAGGATTAACATACAGTTTTTTATTTGTGTAACTTCATGACCAACAAACATTGCAGTCGAAGTTTACGCTTGCACTTCCGAAATATCAGAGACGCAAGTAATCCGTTTGAAATTGCTGAAGACAAGTTCAAAAAATTGTTTCGTCTGAATAAAGTAGCAGCAACGGATCTAATTACTCAGCTACAAGGATACGTTGATGAACCTACCAGAAGAGACACAGTACCTTTTCATCTGCAGGTAACAAAATAATCAACATTTTACTATAATAATAATAATGATTAGTAATAGTACATATATGTGTATAATCAAACTGATATGTAATATGAATTTGTAACGTTTCACAATTCATTCTAAATAGAATCTATTTTCTCTATGAATCTTCAACAAATTATTTTCAGGTCTTTTCAAGTTTATTATTTTATGCCCATGGCGGTTATCAAACAACCGTAGGACACGACTTTAATATCGGAATCAGCCAACCTGTAATGAGCAGACTTATAAACAAAATAAGCAGACTAATTGCATTACATTTGTCACCTCGATATATACGTATCAGGTTTCCAACAACTTCAGAAGAAGTTAGGAGAGTCAAAGACGGGTATGTAGGTATTTTCTCTACATAATGGCCACATCATATCATGAGTTTTTCAATTTTCAGATTTTTAGAGAATCATCAATTCCCAAATGTTGTAGGCGTTATCGATTGTACACATATTGCGATAGTGCCACCCAAAACAGATGATCCTATTAATCCATCAGTAGCATAATTAATAGAAAAGGGTTCCACAGTGTAAATGTTCAGGCAGTAAGTTCATTTTTTGTTAAGCCTTGACTGAGAACATAAATTCGCAATATTTTACAGATTTTCGACTCTCACCTAATGATTACTAACGTAAATGCGAAGTATCCTGGAGCAGTCCACGATGCAGCAATATGGGACTCTTCAAACATACAGAGACATCTTAAGCAAAAATATGAAGATGGAAGACGAAACTGCTACCTACTTGGTGATTCAGGATATCCTCTCCAGCCGTGGCTGATGACACCAATCCTCGAAACAAGAGCTAATACCCCCGAAGCTCACTATAACAGTATACATATCAACACACGCAATGTGGTTGAAAGGGGCTTTGGTATTTGGAAAGCCCGTTTTAGATGTTTAAGGAAAGACAGGGTTCTTCATTATTCTCATGATACAAGTGGCATGATAATTTATGCTTGTGCTGTTTTGCATAATATTTGCAGAATATATAATGCAGAACAAGAGTATGAAGATAATGGCGACTCTCATGACAACACTGATCAGACTACTAACAGCAGCCATCCTGATGATGCTGCAATTCCAAGTAATGATTTTCTCACAGAGGGCAGGTTTATTCGCCAGCAACTTGTAAATCAGTTGTCTACTGCGATCAGGTGAATTATGTAAGAAAATGTTCTCTAAAATAAATATTTAATGCAGATTTTAGTATTTTCATTTTTATTACATGACATCAGGTTTTTGATGTGTTGCTTAGAGCAATTGCTATATCAGATAGCCCTTGAGCTAACTGTGATATTGCACCAGCCATCACCTTCACAGCTTCAGCCATTTCGCTGGTGCTTTGTGCATAAAGTTCAGCTGCTTCGTGCAGCTGTGTGCTCTGTACATGCGGTCTCTTTTGTTTCTTCCTTGGAGCTGCAAAAACAATACACTTGATAAGAACAGTCAGAACATACATGTATATATAGCTTGGTATAAAAAATCAACTAAATAATCAAGTTATTTGTTTAAATCATATTTTGGTCAGTGAATCACTTGTAACTTCTTGTCAGAAAATAATTCTCTCCTGAATGAGAGACAGTTGATTATTCAAACAACATATCTTTGTAAAAAATTGTATAGTTCAAGCAAACTTAACTTCTAAGAAAGTTAGGAAACAAAATATTTTTTGTATGAATTAAATTTCATCAAGTGGAATAACTAAACTAGTGCAAGCTTAACATGTGAATGCTTTGCTCCTTTATTTTTAAGGCACCAATAAAAAAAAACATTTTGCAAATAGTAGGCTACCAAATTACACAAACAGGTTGATATTCCCTTGGAATTTTAAGAGCGGATGCCCCTTAGCGATACCATATTAGCATTATACTAACAACCTACCTGTTCCACGTCTTGGTGTTTGTGATGGTATTGGTGTAGATATCTCATCGGTATTTTCTTCTTCTCTTTCAGCTTCATGCTGCTCTATTGCACCTTCTTGTATCTCAGTGACATCTTGATCCATTAATTCAAGTCCTGCAGGTAGTCCAGGCTCAATATTTGTTAAACTGGGGCATCCTAGTACATGAATCCAACCCCCTAATACATTCAACAGTCGGTTTTCCAAATCTGTCAGGTCTTTACAAGTGTAGCCACCACCTCCCGTTTTCATGATGGAAGCCTTATGGATACGGGCCTTCTTCTTAGTTTTTGATTTCCACTCGTACAGAAACTAAAAGAATATTATGATAATAATGAACATCTTTTTATCTTTAGTATTTCGATAATACGATTAGGTACTTACAGTTTTCCATTGTTTCTTATCTTTTCTTGCACCGTTCTCCACAGAGTTCAACTTCTCGGTCAATTCATCCCACAAAGGTTCACAGTCACCCGTGTTCAACGGGTGCATTTTTTGTGTGACAAGTACCCGGTTTTCCCCAAGAAAATTGATTATCATCTCCATTTGATCTTTATTGGTTCGTTTGCTCCTTGAGTTCGCCATGACGAATTGTATACAACAATACAAGGAACAAGGCACAGGTTGGCAGCAAAGAAATAATTTAGTCGCAGTCGGTTATAAACGTGTTATAAAATGAGGTTATGACCGGTCGGATATGACAAGGGTGACAAGACAGGATTTGACAGAGAACAGAAAAATGTAAGAAGATGACAGGTTTCGCCAGTGTTGCCAAGATTAGCATCAACTGAAATGCTCACGTGATATCTTTATCTGTAACAACATTGCTAGCTCTAGAAACTCCTAGCAATACTTGCCAAAGGGTAGTGAACAGAATATGAATTTGGTAAACAGTCTTGTTAATAGTTTCAGTTCGAGCAATATGGTTAAGATAGCAATATGTTAGGCCAGATGCAAACAGAATTGACCTGTATATAATGTAATGAAACTAACGCCAACTACAGAGAATACCGACTGCTACAACCAATATAAAAATAAATTTATAGAGCTTGCAAGGCAAACCAAACGAAAACATTACCTAAATAAATTGAATAATAACTTAAATGATCCTAAGCGGCTTTGGAAAACTATTGATGAGATTACTGAGAAAACAAAATTTAAAGAGTGTGTCACTGAGTTAAATACAACATCGGGAACAGTATTAAAAAATACTCAACAGACATGCGATGAATTTGTACAATTCTTTCCTGACATAGGCGAAAATTTAGCAAGTAATATACAAGCAAATGTACAAAATACTCAGCCTCCAAAAAGAACTTTGAACTCATTTATTTTGGATAAAGTCGAACAATGTGAAGTATAAACCACTCTTATGTCCTTAAAAAATCGGAAAAGTCCTGGGTTCGATGGTATTAAAAGCGAGCATTTGAAAATTATAGCCAAGGACATAACAGAACCACTCACTTACCTAATCAACAAATGCTTTGAATCTGGCATATATCCCTCAATTTTAAAAAAAGGTAATATAATACCGATACATAAATCAGGAACAATAACAGATGTTAACAACTATAGACCAATATCAATAATATCCAGTGTAGCAAAGGTTTTTGAAAAAGTTTTATCTACTAGAATGATTCGATACCTCACAAAATTCAAAATTTGAAAATCAATATGGATTTACAGAAGGGAAGGCTACATCGGACGCAATAACTAAAATTGTAAATCAAATACATCAAAATATTGATAACAGAATCCCTTCAATCTGCATTTTTGTTGATTTAAAGAAAGCTTTCGACACAGTCAATCACAAATTATTATTAGAAGCATTGGAGAGAATTGGTTTCAGAGGAAACGCGTACTCACTGATCGAAAATAATTTGTCAAATCGCCCACAATCTGTGCAGATATCAGGATCATTTAGTAAAGAAATGTATATTAAGTGTGGTGTCCCACAAGGAACTGTCTTAGGTCCGCTGTTATTCAATATATATTTAAATGATATTTTCCAAATTAATTGTGTTGGCAAAATAACTAGTTTTGCAGATGATACTGCAATATTATATGAAGGTACTGACTGGTCTGATCTGAAAAATGTAATTGAAAATGATTTTATCAAAATTATTCGGTGGTTTAACAGTAGAAAATTAAGCATTAACTACTCTAAAACACATTTTTTACCATTTGGATCTTATGCTAGACATCTGCCAAATTACACAAATTTCTCCTTCAACATTAATGATCAAAAAATGCAAATTAATAGAGTGCCCAACATAAAATACCTTGGAGTGGTCTTGGATCCTCACTTACGATGGGACATCCATGTCAATTATATTTTCAAGAAAGTTAGATTTGTATCCGACAAAATTAAATAATACCTTGGGAATATATTGACAGAAAAATATCTTCGAACATTATACCATGCATTGATTGAGCCTCATCTCACATATGGTATATTAGCATGGGGAGCTGCATGTTCCTCACAGATCTATAATTTAGATGTTTTTCAAAAAAGTATTCTAAAAATGATATTTAAAAAACCGAAACTTTATCCCACTGAAAAATTATACGCAGATGTTCGAATGTATGATATAAGACGGCTTTATTTCTTACACAGTATCACTCACTACCATAAATTTGTAAACACCGACCAAAAAATTAAACATAATCATTATACCAGGTACAAAATTCGTGGCACAGTAGTTCCTCAACCGCATAAATCTATAATGCAGCGATCATATCTCTATTTAGCGCCTAAATTTTATGAAATTATACCTAAAGACTTAAAAGATTTAGGTTTCAGAAATTGTTTCAAAAGAAATTTAAAAAAGTGGCTACATTCTATATCTAGAACTGAAATTCATAAACTCATAAATACGAACATCAACTAAATACATAATCTACTGAAGCTAATTTTTGTTCTTTTTTGTCATTTGCATTCTACAGCTTCAACTTAAATCATTGGTCCATGTACAGGCGATGCCTTCTATTGGGCCTGTTTTGATTTTATATTTATTTACTCATATTGTTTGTTATCTTTGTACATTGAGTGAATAAATATTATTACTATTATTATTATTATTTAAGCAATCATAATGCTTCGTGTCCAATGTTTTGTTTACTATCCTCGGATTGCTAGAAATATTACCTTTCGATGATGCAAGTCTTGCTAGAAAACTAAGCAACACGGGAAAAAGATTTCAGACACCATAACTAATACCATAGATTTATTGCCATTAAGTACTCCCAAGTTCTGCATTCAGTTGCAGAATGTGCGCAACAGAATTCTCGCTCTATAAACACCAACATCATGCAATTATCTCATAAACAAAATATATTTACGAAAGTGTCAACTGAACTTGAAAAAGGTCATCGTTGGGAGCGTATCATCGTACAATAAAGTGGAATCTTAAACATATCCGGTGTTCACTTGAAAACTTCTCACCACGGATTTATCGAAAACACTGATTGAAAGAAAAGACGTTCAGACACGTAAAAAATTACTTCACTCCCTTTCAGCCTCGACCCCACAGGGTCATTCTATTAAAAAATTTAAATTATAACGGGTATCGAGTATTGACTTCCGAAGTCATTTATTTTTACGTTTAACTTTTTAAGATTAGTCAATTCGTTTTCAAGGAAATTAGAAAAATCCTTATTTATCTTAACTTGTTCAGATATAAAACAAAAACACGAAATATCACTTTTTATTTCAATAAGTGTTCAAAATGTTAAAAACCGAATAACCACCCGAATTTATTCCGCATTCTTTTCATCAACATAGATATCTTGGGCGAAGTGTATTTATTGCTATACCTATTTAGTTATTTGTTAGTAAGGAAAGAAAGAACTCAATTTGCTGTCAGTTACCCTTGTGACAATCTTGGGATAGTAAAAATTAATTTAATGATTCAGATTTTACTTCCTAAATGGTTTACACACTAGCCGAAAGAGTGGAAATGATTCTAATTTATGGTGCCCAAAATCAATGTGCTCGGGAAACTGCCATCACGTTTAACGCCAGACATCCGGGGAAGATAACTTCTCATAGGTATATTTTGGACCTTGTTACTAAATTTATTCAAACTGGATCTGTTGCAAATAGAAAACGTGATCATCCGAGAGTTTTGAATGAAGCTGCTTGAGTTGAAGTTTTGGGTCATTTTGGAATAAATCCTTATACCTCATCACGCAAAATTGTTGCTACGACTGGTGTTTCATTAGGCTCTGTGCAGACAGGTAATAAACTCCATAAATTTCATCCATCCGAAGTTAAAGTATTGCAAGAGATAACCGAAGATGATTTCGAGTTGAGTTTTGTGAACAAATGGCTGCAGCGATTAATGGCAATACCATTCATGTAAAGAATATCTGCCTCAGTGATGAATTCACATTTTATCAAAATGGATTTGCTAATAAACATTTTAGGAAACAAAGTAGTTGGGCCATTGCTTATTAATGGAAATTTGAATGGAGATGTTTATTTTGATATGTTGGAAAAAACCATCAATCCGCTTATCACTGAAACCATTGAAATCCAAATCGAAGAGGATGGATGGATGATGAGGCTGAAATACGGGGTATAAGCTTCATGGTAGTCATTATTGAAATAAGTAATAGGGGGGTCAAAACAAGCCAAAAGGTTCATATGACCCATGGTCCAACAGACAATAGATTTTTGTTTCAATGCCTTTATATCAATCACCACAATCTTACTAATTTTTACAATCTAATCTAAAACGTTTTTAAATTGGGTAATTAACAAATAAATGGCATTAAGTTTTCCTTCATTAAATTAAATATTTAAACCGCACATGACAACAGCGGGTCGGCCTTTCATCACTCTTATCGAACCGGCAATCGATCGCAAATGGTAACAGAGGTTAGTTATCGGGCATCGGGCGTGTTGTTTTGTTTTTGTTCACGTACGTCGTCATGCTTATTTACAATTTTCCCAAATCAAGTGTTCGCCGACATGTTAGTTCACGGTGAAGCTCGTCAGAATTTAAATCTTGCAGCTCAATTTTATCGCGACAGATTTCGCCAACGGGTACACCCAGACAGAAGGACATTTGTGCAAGTGTACCAAAGATTTCGAGACACAGGAAGTGGTCAGCCCACTAATATTCGCACTCGTGAAATACAGGTTACTGTAGAGTAGCAGGAATAAATTTTAAATATCGTGGAAATCAATGCAGATATCAATACTCGACGGGAAAATTTGCTTTATCCCTACCATGTACAACGAGTGCACGCCTTGTTACCAGAAGACTATCCTCGCAGACTAATACTCTGTTAGTGCTTTTTGCACAAAAACATTAAAAATCCGGATTTCTAAAAACATTCTAGCGACGGACGAATGTACTTTTACGCGAGACAGGATATTGAATTTCCATAATACTCACACGTGGGCCCAAGAAAATCCTCATACCGTTCGTGAAGGTCATTTCCAACAACATTTTAAAATAAATATTTGAGCGCGTATTCTTGACGATCATGTAATTTTTCCCTTTCGAGTTTCCCCCAAAGTTGTCAGGAGAAGGATACCTTAGCTTTCTAGCCAATCAGAACTTTTGGAACAGACCTTAGACAAAATGCCATTACAGACTGAATTTGTTTTTTCTTCATGACGGGCCACCACCACACATTTTTAGAGGCGTCATTCAGTATTTGAATGAACATTATCCAAATCGCTGGATCGGTCGAAATGCTCCTGATCCTCGAAAATGAAGAGCAAGATCTCCTGACCTCAGTCCGATGGATTTCTGGTATTGGGGAGAACTTAAAGGGATTGTTTATGGGGCTGATCCAATAACAATTGAAGCACATTTTCGCGAAAAAAAATTTAATGCGGCTGAAATAATAAATGGGCAACTTCGAAGACCTAGAGTAAGAAGAAACTCGGTTCGTCGTAATGAAGCTTGTGTGGAAAGTAGAGGACGACATTTTGAACACCTTCTTTAAATACAAAAAAGTGCAGTGT